TTTCCCTTTTTTAATGGTGTGTGCATGCGCAGACCTTTTTAAGTGCACATGCGCACGCGGGTGGAGCGTACAAAATTTTTGGGGGCACCGAAACGGTGGTATTGCTGGCAGGGACCCACCCCTGCTCTCCAGCACCTTTAACCATGACATGGAACTGGCTCCTGTCATTCAGAGCTCAGAAACAGACCATCCCTTGATGGAGGCTAGTTCACAAACAAGGACTCATCTTGCCATGAGGTTCAGCGTGGCACATTCCTATTGCTCCCTAAACAGACCATGATCCAGTTCCTGAAGTGCTTAGAGAAATCACATGGGACAGTTTAAAAGAGAGAACGAGCAGTAAGGGGTAATCTGTTTCTACCCTAAAATCACAAGGCAAGAGAGAATTCTAATGGCAGGGCTGGTTGTTGCACCCTGTATTTTTCCTATCTTTGCAGTCTAAACTATGAAGGATAACTCAGCCTGTACAGGCTCCTCTCACCAGTACATGTGGTTAAAAAGAAATCAGCACATACTGGACAACCCCCCACAGTAAGATTTGCAGCTAAGGTTACCGACATGCTGCATCTAGGTAAGATCAAATTTACAAACCCACCAGATCTACGGGATTTGAAAATATATACTTAATGGACATAATTTAGTCTGCTCTCTTAAAAGCAGGATGTATTNGTGTTAAACTTTATAGAACAAATTTGGTTTAAAAAAAACCCTAGAAAGTGGTGTTAGATTGATGACAATCCCCAATCTCTTCCTCCCTTTGGGGATTTGGATTAAACAGCCTCTCTGCTCACTGCTAGAGGGGACAGGATTTTAAACAAGCTTTCTAGCCTTTGTGAGTAGAAAGATTTTGTTCCAAATGTTGGGATCAATAGATTTAGAACAGGGTTCTCCAACATTGACAACTTTTAAGACTTTGGGACTTCAACTCCCAGAATTCCTCAGCCAGCTTGTGGACCTCTTGGCTTCGCTCGTGGAGGAATTCTGTGAGTTGAGGTCCACAAGTCTTAAAAGTTGCAAAGGTTGGGGACAACTGATTCAGAAGACAAATGTGTGTGAAGGGTGGGTGGGGGGAGGAAAGAGGGGAGGGTGGAATCTGAGCAGGATTCTCCGCAGTCCAAATTGTCAGGGTTTGGATTTCATCACCCTGTACAGACCTGCCCCTCCCGCTGAATAGCACAAGAAGAACAATGAGTGAAATGTATACACTTCTCGGAGTTCTTTCTTTTTAAGAAAACACCACAAGCAGAGAGAATAAACAATGGGCATTATAAAGCCATTTTATACACACACAGGCATTTGCAACAACTTAGATCCTTCCTTATATTGTTGATTGGAAGGCTGGCAGCCTAACACATGGGGCAGCCTCTCTTTTTTTGTTGAAAAGCCCTGCCACAAAGGAGACAGGCTATGTGTAATGTAACAAGCAGGTCTTGATAGCTATCTTTAAATACTCAGCTGCTTCAAAGAGGACCTAAGATAACTCTCGTCTCTTATCACAAACAACTGGAAGAGACGCCAATTCCTTGAAAAGGCTGACTAGAGCAGGGGTCACCAACCTTTCGGACCTCAGGGACCACTCAATTCATAATTTTAAATCCCACAGACCACCAATATGATTTTTTNTGGGGGCGATATGCTGACTCTGTAAACCGCTTAGAGAGCTCTGGCTGAAAGCCCTATGAAGCGGTATATAAGTCTAACTGCTATTGCTATTGCTAAGGATCTTTTCATTAAGCTAGACATACCCAATTCCAGCAACCATTCTTTATAGGTTTTAGCCTCCAGTCCCCTAATAATCTTTGTTGCTCTTCTCTGCACTCTTTGCAGAGTCTTCACATCCTTTTTACATTGTGGTGACCAAAAATTGGATGCAGAATTTCCAAGCGTGGCCTTACCAAGGCATTATAAAGTGGTATTAACACTTCACATGATCTGTTAGATTAATAGAGAAGGTTTAAGTGATAGAGATTTAAATGCCCATTCATTCTTGGGATTTTATTTATTTAAGCTATCAATATGGCCAGTTAACAATGCGTTAAAGTCCACAAAGAAACCAGCAAACAAATATACAGTATGCAATGTGCCAGAACCCACTAAAGATAATGTTTATTATTCAAACCACACAGGTCCTGCTCACCTAACATCCTGCCCACAGTGGTTGGAGAAACAGCCAAGGCTTTCCGAAAGGGTGACTCTTCCTAATTTTAAGCGCTCTTCCAGACACTGCCAACACCAGTTTCATTTTTCAAACTACCCTTATTGTACTGATATTTACCCATTCCAGAATCCAGTTATTCAGTTCCTTCTGGTTCCCTCCCCCCACCCTGCTTTGAGTGATTCTGCCACAAAATTACATCAGTCTACATAAATAAAAAGTCTGCTTCCAACACTGTGAACAGCAGTTGATATATAATACAAATGGAAGGTTGCTTCCAAGATAGAGGGGTGCCTAGATGTTAGCCTAGCTAACCAGTTCCCCGAAATCAGATTCCAATGCTTCCCAAGGCAGTGATCTGTTCTGCAGTCTGGCTGAAATCTGATCTCTATATTTCTGGCCCATCTCCATCGGGGGCTGTCCACGTTAAGGCAACAATGCCAAATGCAGGGAAACTCAGTGCCAGTTGAGGCAGCCAAAAGTCCGGGCTTTAACAAGTGCGTGCGCATGTGCGTGCTTGAGGCATCTAGAATGCTTCTGCTGCACAGAATACATCACGGGCTGAAATACGCAAGTCTCAGCATGTGTAAATTAAAAACAGGCCACTGACAGAGCATTATCTCTGCACTTATTTTATTCCTAGCGCTATGCAGCATTTTGGATTAAAAAACAAAAACGATTGTTTGGAGTGCGCGGGGGCTCTCAGCTAGCCTCCCTCGGCCTGCAAATCAGCCGCATCTTTTCCAGGGATCAGGGGGCCACTTTCCACAGCTGCAGAGGGATTCGGTGGAGACGCTGTTATTTTAAGGAGTCGCCAACAGCCCGAGTATAAGACGCACTTTTTTCCCCTCAAAAAAGAGGGTGCATCTTAGACCCTGAATACAGCATTTTTGGCCTACTGAAACCCCGCCCCCTTTGCAGAAATAAATGTGCAGAGGGTATGGGAGGTTTTCAAAGTGCTCCTGAGGGCTGGGGAGGGCATAAAAGAGCAAAAAATGGGCCATTCCCCCCCCAGCCTCAGGAACACTCTACAAGCCTCCCAAAGCCTCTGCATGCCCCCCCTTTTTTAAAAAAACAGGCCATTTTTGCAAAAAAAAAACAAAAAAAAAAAAAACCAGGCTGGTTTTTGCTCGTTTTTGG